TTTTTTTTTGGTACTGGTTGTCAAAGGAAGACTCGAGAGCACTTTTTGAGATAACGGTATGTCTTACGAAGTTATGCCGACGAAGCTAACCCCTGCAGAAAAAAGTAAGTATTTTATTTATGAATTGGTAATTCCTTCCATAATGCCTAGACAATCGAGTACTTTTTCGAACTCCTAAAAAACAAGGCTTAAAGGTGCCGCTGCACCATTCTCCGTCAAGGCCGGACAATATAACCAGGATAGAGTGGATGAAATCTACCTATGCTTGGTTTTTAGAGTGGACTGAAGGACTTGTCAAGATTAGTGACGCTGATAATTTTTGACTTTTTAAGCTAAAATCCTTCAAGCGTCCACTTGATATTAGTGACAGAAAAATTGACGCACTAGCGCTGTCAGCAACGTAGTCACTTAACATTGCTCTCTGGAGACGAAACAAAGACGCTTTCCAATTAGACCAACTCACCAGTATTTTCAGAGTAAAACTTTACTTTTCTTAGCAGCAAAACAAAATTTCACGTATTTTGAGATTTTGTTGAACTGTGCGTTAAGTAACTCTATTCGTCTTATAAACGTCTTTAGGCTATTCCAAAGTGAACTGTTTGCATTTGTATATGTGTAAACGACATTTTTTCCTTATTTAAAAATACACAGTCTATCCTGGTTCAGTTGTCCAGGCCCGACAGACGATGGTCTGTCCATTGTGCTTCTTTTTCATCGTATAATTTAGTACGTCACATACGCTTAAAAACTTACCTTTAGGAGAGATGGCTGAACTGGTGGAGGAAATTGAAACTCTCACCAGGCAAGCAGATGATCTTCTTGGCGAGGTTTGCGTTAATCCATTGTTTTGTTCTTGTCATTCGTATAACCTAAGCATATACGTTCCTGAGTTTTAAGGTTAAATAAATTGTTATCTTCTCCACTATCTAGACCGCATCTTTCGTTCTTATTGCCAGCAATTACAATCCTTAAAAGAAGTTTATTACTTAATGTCTCTTTTTGGAAAAATTCGATCATGAATCCAGTTATCATATCTTTTCCATGCAGCTAGGATTATGCAGAGTCCTCGACATCGTTGTTCCATTTTCTGAGCTACTCTGGGTCTTCAACCAAATACATCTCTATTCCAACTGTATCTTATTGCAACGTAGACTTTAGGTTATAAAAAAGCGTAAGGAGTATCCGTATATTATCGCAAAGATGAAGAAAGAAGAAATACGCGAGATGTTTGCACATGTGGTAAGCTCCTATTAGTGAGTTTCTATAGTAAATCACCATTTGTAGTGTATGTTGTTTGATAGTGTGAATCACCGCTACTGTCTATTCCCTCTTCTGATCGGATAGATATTGAAAGATTGAAGAATAATATAGCAGCAAAACTTGATGAAACGAGATTCAACTCGGAGAGAATCGAGGATATAAAAAAAGAGATTGAAGAGGTAAAAATCTAATTCTATTTTCTTCTTTTTTTTCGTTAAAAGGTTGTCACCCGTTTGTGGCCTCATTTTTAAAAGCACCTTTCAAGATAACTGGGAATAAGTCACCAGTTGTGTTGTAAATGACACAGCCGATTTCTAAGTTATATGATATGAACTTCCATATTGTGAAGTTTTACCTGATAAGCATCTTTCACTAAAACTTGCCAGATATCTTTGGTGGAACTCTACCGAAATCACCGGTCATATGAGTCATTGCTTTCTATAAAATATGGGCTAATATTCTGTAAACGATATTCAGCATATAGACGCTCTTTACAGTTTAGAACTAATGCGCATCCTCTTACGTTGGCAAAAAAAAAGTTCATGTTTTCACTTGCAGCCTATTGCACAAGCTTTTTGCTTTTTCAATGGTTTTTCCTAGAGAACGACCAAAATTCAAGCATGAGTAGTGACTCATTCATTGTATAGTTATCTTTCAGTTAGCCGCGGAACCGCCTCTCACTTTAATTTTTACTGTATTTGTTACTACTGGTTACTTCCACGTTTTTAAATCAATTTTTGAAAAATCTTTTTTCATTCCCTTCATAAAATTTATAAGAAAGGATTTCTCTATCTGAAAAGTAAAGTTATACAGTTTTGTTTTTT